ATATTTTTCAAAAAGAATATGAATTAATAAATACAAAATTAAAAATATTTTTTGTTCAAACATCAAAAAATGAAGATATACTTTCTCGTCATGCTTGTTCAATAGAATCAGCTGCACGTTTACATCCAAATGGTTTAATATTTGTACTTATGCGTAGTAAATATATACATTTAAAAAAAGGTTCATATATACATTTACGTTCATATAATAATATTTATTTTGTTCATTTTAATGAACAAGATATTTATTTTGGTACATTATTAATAAATTTAAATAAAACTCAACGTAAACAATATATAAATTATTTTTCTATTTCACATATGAGTGATTTTATACGTACAGCAATATTATATAAATATGGTGGAATTTATTTTGATCTTGATGTAATACCATTAAAAAATTTTCAATTATTTTCAAATACTGTTGGACTTGAAACAAATTATGGTGTTAATGTTGCTGTTTTAGTTTTTGAAAAACAACATTTAGTATTAAATATACAAATGATTAAACAATTAGAAACAATTGAAAAACAATTTCATGCATTATGTTGGAATTGTCTTGGACCATTAGCATTAACAGATGCATTAAAAAGTATTTGTAATCAAAGTCAATTGTATATTCATGAAAAAGATAAATGTCATCAAATTGATATACAACCATCATATGTATTTTATCCAATATCTTATCAAGTATGTTTGTTAAATTTATCTTTTGTAAAATACAATTAAAAGAAATATTAAAGTATACAGCACCTCAGGGCTACAGGAATTCCGAGTACAGAAGTTTTTGACTCAGGTTTAAATTGACCTTATAAACTTCTATAACAAGCCTTATTACATTTATTAGATACTACATTCCGTCATGTTGACTAGTAGGCATTATCTAAGGGTTAATTCAAACTCGGAGCCGAATATTTCTTTGGGCGAAATTTCAGCTAGTCTCTCGCCTACAAACCATGTAGATCTTAGCCAAAGACTGTATACGTGTTAATGTCTCGTCATAACATATGAAATACTTCCTTAGTGCATTTCTAAAGGATACTATGAAGAAATAAATGCGTTGAAAAATCGATAGAATAAAACAATCCTCTAATGATTAGTAAAAACATCTACATTGTGTTTTATATTTTAATTGTATAGAGATAATGTTAACAGCTTTTTTGTTTCTAGCAAATTTTACAATTTTTTCGTCGTTCAACAGAAAATGTAAATTTTTTATTAAAAAATTCAAGTATATATTCAATACATTATTTTCATCATATGACAATGAATATACCAATTGAAATAATGTCACCATTTGCTCAAATAGCTGAACTATTTTGTCCAAATGTATATAAAGAATTAATTATTAATCAAAATATATCAAATCAATCATCAAATATTTTTCTTACAAATATAAATATATTTTTATTTTGTTTATTCATTACATTTTTATGTATTTTTATATTTATATTAATTAGTCATTTTTTAACATACATTCGATTTATTAAATTGATTCTATTTAAAATATTATATAAATTTCATAAATTATCTTTTTGATTATATTTATCGTGATGAACAAAAACCAATACACTGATTGTCAGATGTATAGTGTTGAAGTCAATTATCGTAAAAAGGTTTTTTTTTTTTGTTATAAATTATATTACAGTGAATAAATGTATATGTGTTATTTTTTTAATCAATGATGTTTTTGTTTTTGTTTTTGTAAAATTCACATATGTTTTCTTTTTTTACAGATATAAATATAAAATAAGATACTTAAGAAAGCAATGAGAAACAAATATTTTGTTTCTGTACGATCTGTAACATACAAACAAATCAATTTTCTCATTGTATGCCATAAAAAAAACATTGGGCAACCATTGATTAAGTACAGTTAGATAAAAATCATATTTTCTAATCCATTTTCTTCCTGTCTGATTTTGACTGACTCTAGAGACTGAATGTTAAATTATCAAGGTTTTATTTCAGAAATCGCCTATATATTCTAACTAGAGAGCTGCGGGTTCTTCCAGACCCGGGTCCGGGTCTAAAACTTAGAGAAAAGTCAGACTCGGCCTGCATTAAGTTATGAATGGAAATATATAACAATAACAATTGAAGTCAACAAAATTGAAAAAGAAACAGTCAGAAATAATTTTACCTTTAAAGTCGCCAATAAAGAGCTAAAATTGTGCTTTTCTGTTCATGTACACATAGGGTGCCAAAATATTGGTGAAAAAAGGATCGGGTTTAGACTCAGCCGGGTCCGGAAATTTAGTTTTTCTTGGGCCCGGGTCCAAAAAAACATGGACCCGCAGCTCTCTAATTCTAACATACTGTTTCTTGTTTTATATTAAATAGACTGACATAAATGATGTGTCATAAAGTTTTGAGAATTTGTTCTTGTCAAAATGCTGCCTAAAACCTAATTAAAGTCTTCCTCAAAAAATCGATCTTGAGTCTAATGTATTCAAATCACATAAAGTTTTCAATTTATCTTGGAACAATAGTGGAGAGATCATCGTATAGTTCTGAACTCAATCCTGCAAGTATCATCTCAGATATACATAGTTACTCAAAAAAAAAAAGAGATAAAATCATGTTTATGTTATTTTAAATGATATTACGAATATCAATCAATGAAAATTTTTCTTTTATCATAATCGTATTCACAAATAAAAAAAGTGAAAATTGTCTAAAAATGATTAAGCAATGAACATGATGAACTAATACAAGAAAGAAAAAACAAGCGTTCTTTCATCATGATCAGAAAAATTTTTTATTATTTTATTCTAGTTGATTGTTTCATATGATTATCATGAGCTTAACATATGACCTGTTCTAAATCTACACATAATTTATAAAAGCACTTTGACGTTTGTATATAAAAAGATAATCATATGATATAAACACATTTTTAAGTTAATGTGTATCGAATACATGGAAAAAAAAAAGTTCTACTCTAGGATTAGATATCATACATGACTTGAATTTGGCCGGATCTTAATCCGAAAACTTTGAACTCAAAGAATGTGATATTCTCTGGTATTGATCAAGTTAAGACAAAAATTATTAGATTCTGCAGTTCATTATAATATGTTAACATAAACGGAGAAAAAAAAAAAGGTGGTAATGTCAACTCAACATTCAAATATATATATCAATAAAACTTTCTCTATAAATCATATATTTTTTAAAGAAAATTCAATTTATTAACAAAAACATAGGATTACAATAGATAAGAATAAGTGTTTAAAAATAAAAAAAAATATATATATTTATTAATTTTCTTTGATACGTGAGTTAGTATGAATTTGAACATTTGTTTTGATAGTAGAAACAGAATATTGTGAATGACAAATATTACATGTAATCATAGTTAAACGATCTGATTTTCCTAATAATGTATTTGAAGAATGACATGTCTTGCAAAGCACATATTCTCCTATACAAAAAAAAATATGATTTCAAAATTTTCCAAAAAAAAAATTGAAATTATCTTACTAATAAACGAACGAAGAACATTTTCCAAATGACTTTGTTGAAAACGTCCTTTTATAATTAAAGCATGATTTCCATCGATAGACGCTCTAAAAAAACCAAAGAGATCAAATACCGACAATACTTTTGTTACTTACGTTGTACCTAATTCCATTATGAAAAATTCGTATAATTGTTTTTCTTGTCGTTTAAGTCTAAAAATTAAATAAAAAAAACGAATTTTTTTTTATTCATATAAAAATAAAGTAATCAAATAACTTACAATGCACATATTGAAGAAAAGTTTAAAAATGTTGTACGTTTTGTACCAATACGTCCCACTTGTACTGGTGGAAGTATCAATCTATGTGGAACTGGATTTGTTTCAGGAATAAGTTTAAATGCTCGATTAATTAACTATTGCAAAAAAAATTATATTATTTAAAAATTGAGAAAAATCAAACTCGAAAGTTTTAATAAATCATCTATAGTTTCCAAAAATCTTCAGTCTATTTTTTTTTTGTAAAATTCTATGATTAGTATTATTATATTATCATGCATTTATCGTTTTCATTATTAGATTCATATAGATTTATGAAAATCTGTCAAGTTTTATTAAAATAAATTAACTTACAAATTTATAACTATAGTCACTTTCGATCATTGCTACATCATTAATGGTTCCATCATCTTCAGTCACATTATCTGTGACTGTTGTTTCAATGTGTACACTACGATTAATTCGATTTTTAGATTTCTTTTTCTTCTTCATATCGAAGAATGTCTAAATAATAGATTATTACGAACATAAATGAGATTTTACAGACAGAAAAAAAAACAATTAACTTACATCGTCATTAATATTTTCGTTAGCAGTCATCGTTTCTTTTTTTTGTATTTATCAATCTAAATAGAATTACTAGAATACATTAGTTCTTATTCTTTGTTCTATATAATAGAATTATAAACGAAAAAAAAATCTCAAGAAATCTAAATACGCTATAAAGTTTAAATAAAACAAATTATGCTAATATATTAATATTCATTTCAGAGTTAAATAGACGTGACCATTTTTTTTTGAATATATTTTAATCGGCTAAGATTATCGAGCTCGGGATTACATAGTTGGAAAGAGTGAACTCTAATACATTCTTCTGTATAACTCATTTGAGTCTATAGAAACTTTTTTACGACTGTTTATGCATCAGTATATTGTTTTTTTGACATGCTAATTCTCATTATAGAAAATTGTAGCCGAAATTCAACTATATATATATATATGGTAAATTTTTGGCATATCCATATTGCCACTCTTTTCTTTAACAAGATCACTTTCATCTATGGTAATTTTACCGTATACATACAGCTGAATTCTGGCTACAATTTGATATAACGAGGATTAGAATGCCTAAAAAAGATCGTGGAAAAAACAAAAAAAAAATATACTGATGTATAAATAGTCGTAAAAAAGTGTCTATAGACTCAAATAAGTTATACAGAAAGTTACATTGGAGTCGGCTTTTTCCAACTATGCAATTCCGAGCTCGATAGCCATAGCCGATCAAAAGATGACCTTACTCTGAAATATACATTATTTATTACTATCAACAGTTGTTCATGACTTTACTATTTGATCTCACTAACACATCTTTCGATTAGAGGTTTGTAGAGTAGCGATTAGAAAATTTTTCCTCAGCCGGAACATCAGATACAAAAGAAAGTTTATCCTGCACATCTCTACTGTAATACTTTTATACTACTTATGATTTTTAAAGGCGGCTTTCAACTAGTGGCGTAACCAGGGGGTGGCAAGGTGGAGCTAAGCCCCACCACCGATTTAGAGCTTGACCAGCTGAGCCCCTCTACCCAGTGGCGGACCCAGGAGTTTTTGAAGGGGGGTGCGGTTAAGCAAAAGGGAGGGGCGGTTACGATAAACATACAATATGTTGGAGAAAAATCGCTAGAAAGTAGCATGAAACCAGTACCAACGGGAGGGACGGTCGCCCCATCTCGTCTGCTGTAGATCCGCCCCTGCCTCTATCGTTAAAATCATGGTTTCGCCACTACTTTCAACAAGGATAGGATTAAGAGAGTACGCGATAAAAACTTTCATAGGGTTAGAAAATATTTTTCTAGACAAACTAAAGCAATCTAATCAAAACATAACTTTTCAGAGTCATCTATAGCTATATACGAAGTTCTACAAGTCTCTAACAATAATTGACTTCTAAGACCACATATTTATAATTCAACATTGTCTGTTGACATACATGTAGTCATTGATGATGCAATGTAACGAAATATATTACAAAATATATGGGAAAAAATCCAACATTGTCTCATGCTGACATCTATGATTACGAAATAAAAAAGATTATAATAATATTTTTTTTTGTTTCTATTAAAATATTTCAATATATTATTTTTTTATTAAAATTAAATATAAATTTTATTTTTTTTTTATCATATATATAATAAAACTAATAATTTCAATTGTTTACTTTCTCAATCTATATATATTATTATTGACATTTTGTTTATTTGCTTATACATTAATAAGAAGATATAATAATCTTAGCCTTTTTTTTTTTGTTGTTGTTATTGTCTTATACAAAAAACAAAAAAAAAAAAAAATCGAGTACATTTTTATTAAGTTAATATACTATATATTATGAATATATTCTTTTTTTGATTAACTCAAGTATTTATATGTACAGGTGAATGATTTAATTTATCGACATTAAACAAAAATAAACATTGTTCCGTTCTTTTTTTTTTTGCTAGTTAAATTGTTGATTCATATGATTATCATTGTATATTTTTTTCACCATTAATGGTGCTTAAAAACTAAAATTTCAAATAAAAATAAAAAAATGGCAAATATTATTGATACATGTTGTGTAAATATACCAATAACAAAAACTGATAAAAATAATAATACAACAGCTAATATTGATAATGGTTTGAAAAAAAATTAATTAAATATAAAATAATAATTATTAATTTTTTTAGAAATTAGTTTACCGTCTGAACAGTTTGATGTTTTACAGAATGGAACTAATGATAAATCGGAGAATGTAAGTTATTTGTATTGTTTTTTTTTTTTCTTATAGAAGAATACATTTCATGTATTATTTTACCTTGATGAAAAAAAATGTTTGTTTTTTTTACATTTTGAAATTTTAAAAGATTTTTGTATCATTTTGACAATGCATTTCTAGAGATATGTAGGATTAACTTTTTTTTTTTGATCCCGGACTCTGATTTTGGATTCTATTTCTAATCTGAGTTATATTCAAAGAAATTATTTTAGAATCTGCTGGTTTTATGTTTGAAATAGTTCTCGAATACTCTTAAATTTCTTAGACATTTTTTTTTTATTTGTTCCTGGTCTCAGTCGGATCTCTATTCATTCTACAAACATTACAATGAAAATGTGTGATTTGCTAATCTTCGATGTGATATATAATGTAAACTAGAAAATAAGTTCAAGGAGTTTAATGAAGGATATTCTAGGAATGTTCATACGAATTCTACTTTCTTGAAAATAAACTATTGATATTCAAGTTTCGATTTTCTTTTGCAGAAAATCAAATTAAATTTTTATTATTTAGAAAAATCAAGAAATTCGACGAAATGTATAATAAAAGTTTGAAAATATTTTAAAGTCGATTTTCTACAAAACAGAATTTAAATAAAATTTATAGTATTTCACGATCCTAAATATAACTATGTATTGTTGATTACTTCAAAGACTATCATACAATGTTTTTAACACAGAAATATAATTTTCTTGTCAAAAAAAAAAAAAATTTAAACATTACTTTCAAAAACTTTGATTTTTGTAAGAAAAGTCGAAAACTTAAAGATTAAATATAGGGATGTACAGAGACTCTCGGTCTCGGTCTCGGCCCCTCTCGATCTCGGTCAGTCTCGGTCTCGGCCCGTCTCGATCTCGGTCAGTCTCGGTCTCGATCTCGGTCAGTCTCAGTCTCGGTCACTCTCAGCCGAAAAGCTTAAAGAAATATTATTTCACCCGAGACAGAGTAGCACACTTATCTATGATAAAGAAATGATCGAGATCGGCACTACTCAATATCAAGGTTGAGGCTAGCCAAGACCGAGACTCTCGGTCTCGGTACATCCCTAATTAAATAAAATAAACATTTTTTCAATGAAAAAAAAAATTTTGTTCAAATCTAAAATATTTCTCATAATACACAATTCAGTATGTTTGATGTTTTTGTTGTTTTAGACGAATTGTACCGATAATCATCATCTTTCAACAAACGATGATAATATAATAACAACAAATGTTATTTCATTATCTACTGATGAAAATGATATATTAGAATCTTCTATTGATATAACAAATCCATATAAAGATTTTTCTGGTATTGATACAGAATCATTTATAACAACAACATTACGTAATAATCCAAAAGATCGAACATTATTATTAAGTCTTGAAAAAATTTTTCAACAATTTATACAAAATGAAGAACAAACATTACATCAATTTCAAGCAATGAATTCTTGTAGAATATTTTTTTTTTAATTTTTTTCAAAAATAAAATTTTTTTTAGATGAACGAATGATTGTTCATCGTGTAGCTGCTTTTTATGGTCTTGATCATAATGTTGATAAAAATGGACAATCAATTATTGTTACGAAAACACCAAATACTCGAATGTATAAACAATATAAAGATATTTTCTTGTTTTTGATTTTTCTATTTAATTTAGTCCAAATATTTCATTTCAAAATTTTATTCCTAATGATGAATCATCTAATGGTGCTAATATAATATTAAATTCTTCAAATGATAATACAACACGTCGTATATCATCACGTCGAAATGAAAAATATTCTAATCAAAAAATATCATTTGAACATAAAAATCATTATACAGAAACACGTGATAAAATATCAAATAAAATAAATCGAAAACAACAACAACAACAACAACAACAACGTTTTAATATAAATCATCATATACAACAAACAAATATTCCAACATCAACTCATATAATTAATACAAGAAGTAAATAATTATCATTTACATACAGTTTTTTTTTTTTTTGGTGAATTAGCATAAAAGAAAAATTGACTTTCTTATATATCATTATTTGAATGCTTTTGCATATGATCAAACTTATTCTATTGGGATATATATTCTTATTTTCATTGGAGAATACTAAAAGATAAATATTACTAAATAACACTATATATAGAAAATTGTATTGATTAATGATTTGAGTATTTGAATATTTTCTTTCTTTTTTTTTCTACAATATATTTCATTTTATAATGAAATTAAAGTGAACTTTATCATAATATTGTTAAAAATAACATATTTTTGTTATGCTTAAAATTTGAAAGGGTAAGTCGTAAACAAATGGGACTTTACCCGTATTTTTATATACTCCAAACTTAATCTTCTAATGTTTAAATTTAAATAATATATTTGTCTTATATCAATACTATACATTAAAAAAAAAACTAATAGTTTAAATGCTTGACGGAATATGATTTTGTATTTATATGAATGTTCTCTATTTGATAATAGCTAATTTATTCTGAATATTTTAATTTTAGCTCAACCGATCTATCCAACAACAATAAATTCATATTATCCACAACAACAACAACAACAATTAATTGATCATAATTATAAACAACAAACAAATAGTTCACCTATGTATAATTATGTACCAATGTTATCACCAACAACATTTCAACATGGAAATAGTATTCCATTACCTATATTACTTCATCAACAACCAACAGGTCAAATTCAATATGTATTTCCTACGCATAGTTTACAACAACAACAACAACAACCATTATCATTCGATGGACAATATTTACCTGTAAGAATAAAAAATGAATTAATAAAATTACTTTTTTTTATATTGTTTGTTTAGATTTATCGATCCGATGTAATACAACCATCAATTGTTGATAATAATCCTTATTCTCAACCACCTTTTGTTCATTTATATCCAACACATTCTTATCCTCAAACACAACAAACAGCATTTATTCAACCAGGTTAAAAATTATTATTTTTTTAATCTTATATTTATGATTAATTATTTATAGCTCCGTCTTTTATGATTCCACCTAATAATTCTACATCAATACAATATGCAACAAATCAATTAGCTACATTAAATTTACAATCTCAATATGATAATTTACGTATTTCACAAACAAATAATACAATAAAACCTTTTATTCAATCATCAACAAATGGATTACATCGAATGCCTATTTATCATCATTATCGTCAAAACCGTCCATTAAATACAAATAATATTGATAAACAATTAACACCAATCGAGAACGATATTAAATCTACAATAAATAATAAATCTGAACAGATTTCATTATTAGAAACAACACAAGAAAAAAAAGATTGATTAAAAAAAAGAAATTTTACTAGTCAATCAATATCTTTTTCTATTATCTCTCAGGGTATATAGAATTTGTGTATATCTATGAATCTCGATTGTGTGTATGTACGCATAATAACTATCTATCTATCTATCTATCTACCTATATTTTGTTTTTTTCTTCTTCTTCTTTTGTTAATGTTGTTCTATATAAATGAACGACAACAACCGAAGTCAAAGATTTAAATCTTGTAAACTAAAGTGTAATTTGTTCATCTACGTTTTACATAAATATGAAAGATTTAAAAGAAAAAAAAAAAATAATTTGAAAATATAAGATGTAGTGAAATAAAAAGTTTCTATATTAATTAAAATAAACAGAGATTAAACAACGAAATTAAATATGTTGCACAATTATATAATCAAAGTATATTTGGTAAATATCAATTAATTAAACTAATTTATAATTAAAAGTCATGAACATCTTACAATTTGAAGATTAAAACAAAAAACGATAAGTACAAGTGTTTTCACCTGTGAAAATTTAAGGGCGCAAAAAAAAAATTCCAGGTGACGTCAGTAGGAAGATCAATGAATGTATACATGGATGTGAGTCTTTTCTTTATTCATACTCACATCCATACCTTTCATCATATTTATTGTTTTTTACAATGTCTAAGTTTTCGATGATGAATGTTCTCGGTTCTTATCATACCCTAATCCTTTATAGATCTATCATACTCATCGAAAAAAGAATTGATTGGAATAGATTTCAGTGCAAATTAACATCAGGGCCCTCGCAAAGGATCAAATATTAGGGGGTGTAAGGGGCTATTTTCAGAAAAATCATAAAATGTGGACAAAATCTGCTCTTGTAGCCGGAGAAAACTGAAAAGTTTTTACTTTTGGGGGTGTACACTCTCCCACTCACGCGGGGTCTGATTAACATGGTCCTTAAGCATACTTTAATAACAAAAACGTTTAAATTTTCATATCAAATTATTTAAAATAAAGCGACATAAAACAATTTCAAAGAACAAGAAGGAAAAAAAAAAAAAAGAACGTCTCTACTATTTGTCTCAATAAAAATATTTACCGAAGTTTTTTCTTCCTTTTTCTTTTCTTTTTTGAGTTTTATTTTTTTATTATATCTGAATCAATCTTTTTTTTTTTCTCGTGATTCTTTTTTTTTTTATCGAGTAATGTCAATAGCTGTTACTAAATTGACAAAAGAATAATGACATGCATGAAGATAAAAACCATTTGACGTTAAAATCTGATAAAATACAAAAGAAAAAAAAATAAAATAAGTCGAATAATTTGTTAATATATCTCAATCAAACAAATTTATTATGCATATTTTACTATATAACAATCAATATTTCTATTTATTTTTTATTTTTATTACACAGATAATATCAACATCTATTCATAAGAATATTTTACATATAACAAAATTTAATCGATCTATGAATTATTCTATAATAAATCAATATCAATTATATAATCGACAAAATGTAACATCTTTAACAACAACAGAATATTTAACAACATCTCATAAACCTACTCCAAATAGATCATATGGTCTTGCTTTTAAACTTCTTACAATATTTTCAATTGTTTTTGTTTTTGGTATGATTATTATTCGTTTATGTTTTAAATTTTGTAGTTCAAATCGTTCTTCAAATGTTCTATCATCAATTCATGGTATACCTGTTATACGACCTCAAGTATCTACTATTGAATTACCTTATTATAAACCAGATTTACCACCAGCTTATCCTGAAGCAATAGCAAATATTGATAATGATGAAACTAAATTACCATCATATGATGAATTACAAAATGAACAAAATGTACGTAGTACAAATCCAACACAAACATAAAAAAAAAAAGAAAACATTTGTTATTTTATTTTCTACGACTTTTTTTTGTTTTTTCGTGAGAATATACAGGAAAATTTTATAATAATATTTATCATATAAAAAAACAAAAAACAAGCTTCAATAATTTAAATTTTTTGCATTATTGTTTGGAAATTATTTTTCTATTCAAATCATCATATCATAATGTTTTTTGTTCTTTTTGGTAATGTTAATAATATTTCTTATGAATATGACTAATGTTGAATACTTATGTAAATGTCAGATTTAGACGGGGACACTAAGAACAATCGACTATATCTCTTTTGAAAAATTATCATGAATACAATGTTGTATTTAGAATAAAGGTCTTCCTTCTAAACTTTATCGTTATTATGTTGAGTATATACTTCCAAAAACAGATGTTTGCTTTCTCAACGTTTTAAATTGTTTCACCGAAAGAAAAAATTTGGATAAAATATGGCTCGAATGGATTTTAAAACATGCTTCTTTTTTTTTACTATTAACGAATCGTACTTTCGATTAAAATGCTAGATTTGACACTAGTTTTATTTTAGATTGAATTAAGTCAACTTGACCGCATAAAACTTCAAATTCTTGCATAAACAGGATGAAATGATCAATAAGAACAAGCAAAAGAAGTTAGCAGATTTGATGGTCTATCCAAAGTTAATGGCGTACGGCCGGAACCGTTGACCGGAATTTCTTGATTACATACAGTTCCAATAGAAATCGCGAGAATTCGGTCACCGGATTACTGATACCCAGTTTCGACGGGAAATTCACGGAATCATTGACCCAAGATGTCATACTTGTGCTTTTATAGAGTAATTTTCGGCACATCGAATGGTACTCTAAGAAATGAAGTTTTCTTCAAGTTTTGATGTACTAAGTATTCATATATTGCTTATACAAGTTGATAATGAGTCTATGCATCCCCAAAAGTTCTCATCTATGAAACATATAGAGTTTGATAGTGTGCAATTTGTTAGAAATTCTTTTTTAAGTATGAAGGAAGTAATTATAAAAACTATTACTTATACATAATTGAAGAGCACATATAACTGTATCAAAAATGAGTTTAACTTATGCATTTATCTATTACTGAGATACGAAAAAATTCGATAGAAACAAATCATATTTAATATTAAAAAAAAAAAAAAAAGTAAAATATATAATGACATAGATTTTATTTTATTAACATAATGCAATGTTGATAGTTTTTTTTTTGTTTTAATCATAAACTTGGATAATAGTTTTAGAACTACAATCTTTACGTATATTTTACATACTTTATATTGATATGAATATTAACAATCATTTTTTTTCAGATATACTAGAAGATAATTTGAAAATATTTAATTTTATTTGTTTCGAAAGTCTGAAAATATATTCTTTCGAATCTGTTTAGTTGTAATTGATGAAGATGATGGTAATTGATTAATCTTTGATGTAGTTTGTTTTGTTTGAAATGATTGTTTTTTAGGTACAATTGGAGGAAGTTTAGTAGACTATATGGAAACATACAAAGTTTGTCATAGCAAAAAACTTTAAAATATTACTTCCGTTAATGTTTTACATTGATTTGAAGGTATATCAAATAGTTCATCACTATGCATAACAGTAATTTTATATCGACGATTTTTTATCGAAGTTGAAGAACATTGATGTTTATTAATAGCATTTGAATTAATTGATAAATTTTGATTGATATGTTTCACGGAAACTGTATTAATAACATTGTCCATATTTGATTGCAAATGAAAACTCTTCTTATGACTAAGAGTATCAGAGATTATTTTAGACTTTGGTACAAATGATTGTATTAAATGATTGTTATTTGTTGATAAAAGTCTCTTTTCTTGACTATTAGTACTTTGTTGATCTGTTGTAAGTGTTAGTAAACTTTTATTTTCTGAATTATTTGGACTTTGACTACTATTCGTACTATCAAATGATGATTGTAATCCTATGATGAATAGAATAGAATTTGAATTAATGAAAGAGTTTTTTATTTTACCAAAATAAAAATTTGTTTGTTTAGATTCTATGATATCAGATTCATTTGATATATTGATTGTTTCATCAATTGGTAATGATAAAACAGAAATACTTGGATAAAAATCTGATGAACGTCGACGTTCTTGTTTTCTTAAATCATGAAGTTTTTCTGTTAATCGTTGAAAAATTTCTTTACGATTTAATGAATGTGAACGAAGATATGAATTAAGTAATATAAGAAATATATCTTGCCAATGATTTTCACTTATTTGATATGTATCAAGATTTTCTTGAGAAAATAATTCTTCTAATGCTTCTAATAAATTTGTCTTTTGAGATGTTGTTACTGTATGCATAATTAAATCAGTTACCTGTATAATATTATATATATACAGTTAAAATATCAAATTTTTGCTTGCAATATTTTAACTGCTTCTCAAAGAGAATACGTTAAATACGACATGATAAATTCTCTTTTTCGATGAATTAATCAAAGCTAAGTATTACGATTTTATCAAAAGATTTAGAATAAATAAATTGATTTTTATAGCATTTCTCATGTAGAAATAGGTGTAGTTTGATGATTTCTGCTTCTGAAAATAATATTGAAGGATTGACCTCGGAAATGTTCTGTCTAGCTTCAATCCTGACGATAGGCAGAATTACTTTTTGAGTTATAAATACGATGACCTGTAATGTTCGTTGATATTCTTCTGAATAGATACTCATGTTACACGTTTGTTTCTACTACTGCCGATACACTGTGACACTCATAAAAACTGTCGGTAGCATTTACGAATTTCAGAACAATTTCAGTATGTGTTTTACTGTTAAAAATTTATTTCATAAATAGAATCAATTTAGGCTCTGTGACTACTACAGGCAGCTTAGACGCATCAAGTGTGTCGAAAAAGACTCAATGCTGCCTGTTTTAGTAGACTTCAAAAGTATTCACTTGTTTTGATACAACATTTCCCAAAAAAGAAACTACTGACATAGCACACATTGTATGAGTCGGTAAATCAGTGAAAGTTTCTCGGTAGTGATCACATAGGTATTCTGCAGATCAGAGTCATGACCAGTGATTTATCTACTGGATGGGCTGGGTGGGCGCCGCCCACCCGAAATGTTGACTCGCCCACTTGGGAAACGAAACCTAGATAAAACACTGGTCATGACACTAAAAGTCGTCATTTATTAATAGTCCAAAGGATGATTTCTTTCAGGCAAGTCATTGTAATAGGAAATCGATTGCCACTATTAACAAATGTCTACTAGAATTTGTAGTTTGCATAATTATATGTAGGCTTCTCTTCATCTTCAACAGAGTTCTCAAAAAAATTGGTTATTCGAAGGCGAAAATCTTTGATCCTTCTTGTCAATAAATCTAATTTATTTTGAATAGAAAAAGAAATGTCATATTCACCGTTCGAGATGTTGATGCAGGTTCTATAGATTGAAAATCAAGTAATGGTTGACTAAGACGTTCAATAAAACTACTATTAAATGTAGATACATCTTCCGGTACTTTTGTTTCTGGTTGTTCTAATATCACCTTTGATTTCTCGATAACACCTCCCATTGACATTTTTCGTTGTTCAGCACGTTTAGCTGGTGTGATTATTGATTGACGACCTGTATGACAATAAACAATCGATGGTTGATATTCAGTAGGAATTTGAGCATGTATTTGAACATTTCGTTGAATACATTCTTCATACCATTCAAGTGTTTCTGGTGAATCACGCATCTAATATCAATAAATTATTAAAATGAATATATATAATTTCGAATTAGATGACGAGTAAATTCAAAAACAAAGACTATCAAGATTTTATATATCTTGCATATTTCAATTTTTGTAGACTTTTCTGATTTTTCTTTTATTAATTTTCATTAAAAAAAAATTATCTTTTGGATATGTCGAGAAACAATATTTTTAAAAGTAACTCTGATGAGTCCTATCCAACTATGACAAAAAAAAAAAAAACTTTTTTTTTGACATCTGAAAACAATTCTTTTTTTTTTTACTTGTAATTCATTATCTTCAATATGAGTAATTTCTGATTCATATATATCCATCGATTCGATTATATCATTGTAAGTTCTTGATGGAACAATAAAATGCTATAAAATAATATAAATTAATATCGATTGTCAAAAAAAAAATAAATGTTTAATTTACAGTAGCATCATTGATGATTGGCATATGAAATAATTGTGAAACAAATTCAGTCATTTCTTTAATTATTCGAGATTTGGGTAAACGAGGAAGTATAGATTTACCTTGGTAGATTTTATTTGCAATAGCTTTTAATTATATAGAATATATATATATATAATTGTTTTTTAAAGTTCATTATTTTCTTACCTTTTGTTTTATTATCAGTATATTCTTCAGGAATACCAACAACAAAAGTTTGTGCTAAATGTTTAACATTAATTATACGTGGTTTTTCTTCTTTTAAACCTAAATCTGGACGATCAATACTTTTAAATAATGTCCAACCCAAATATAAATCATCATCAATATGAATTTGTGGTGAAGATATTTCACGATTAATTAATTTATTATCTATAGGTTTAATTGTTGGTAAATAAGAAAATGTTGTATCTTGGTTTAGACTAGATAACCATGTTGATACTGTTTGACGATCACTTGGTTTATCAACCACTGAAGAAAAAAAAAAATCATTGAAAACTATGTTAATAAAACGAATGCATCTGAATAAATGAGCTTTTCAACATTTTAGAGATATGTAGAGGCAACTTTCTTTTTGTTTTTATAAATTAACGACAGCTTACAAGTGCGGCGATATTACATAATTTAAGGTCTCATAAAAATGACAAAAATGAATGGTGCTAATCTACAATAATCACTTGTATGAGTTACTTTAGTGTAGATGTTTTCTTTTCTATTTTTTTATTTTGAATGTGACACTTGTCAAAAATAAATACTGCATAAGAAAAAGAATGAAATAATGTTTTCGAAGTCTAATGTAGGACTTCAGATACAGTCTGTAACGCTGAAGAGGACAGCATTGCTAAATTGTCTGTAATGTATCATAGCGGGTGACGGACATTTCGCACTAAGTCACTCCAGACTCCGGTCATATGTACAAGTGTTCGGAAATGATTTTTGTCCTTAAAAATCTTTGACAGGAGTTCGTAACCCTTTTTGGACGGGACATCGTATTGAAAAAGACAGGAAGATCGGAAGAGTGTAACTGGGAATTCGGAATGGCATGCTCATTATTATGTGTAATATAGTGTCCGGAGATTGAGATGAACAAGAGCGGGTGTTCGAAATAAAACTCTAAGGATATTTTTTCTAATAATTAAACACATTTTTTTCCTTCAAAATTCATGATGTTCGTAATAGAAAGCGTGTGTATATAAGGAATAATAATGATAAATACAATCACTTGAGTGATAGTAGTAATAACAATAGAAATATTGACTGCTTGAATTCATTAGGACATTCTATGTGTACCATCTTATAATAAAAACTAATGAGTCACTTAACATCCCTTAAAGAAGAGCAAACATGAACACAGTTTCGAACAATTTGTCTTTTTTCATTAAGATTTCCGTGCAATTTTCATTATAATCTTCAAACATTTACTATCTTATTTGCCTTAACTTTCATTACGATCTCAATGTCTTTATTGTTACGATCCCCCGGCCATTTTCAATCCGAACTCCAATCAAATTTCAAGTTTTTATCTGTCAAACTCGATCATGGCTGTTCGTTACGATCATCTGGACAACTTTCATTACGAACTCCCTGCTTTTTTTAATTTTTAATTGTTTCTTTGTCATTCCGAACACCCTGTCTTTGTTCTTGTGTCAGGTGACAGGGTTGCCAGATCTTCTGAAATGGCAGGAAAGCTTCTGAATTTCAAAACTTTTTCTGATTTTATTCTGACCTTCTGATTTTTCTGATTTTTCAGGTTCTTTCCGATTTTTCTGATGTTTTTAGTTTTTTTCGATTTTTCTGGTTTTACTTGCGATATTTGTCCAAATTCTATTTCTGAATGAAGACTTTTCTCAAATTGATTACGATCATAATCGTTAGCCATATGAAATATGTATGGTCTGATTATCGTAATCGCATGGACATAAAACTAGTTAGTGCTGAACTTAAGATAAGAATGAATGCTAATTATTCGTGTGAACAGTTCTAAAAACATATTTCAACTGCTAAACATTTATTGCAGCGAATTCGCAAAAATGAAAAATATCAATAGTATGGAACTCATATTGAATGAGTCTTTTTTTAAATATCTCTTGATGTATATAATGCATATCTCGATTTGTTTTTGCTCATTTTATTTGAAAAAAAAAAAGTTTTGAGTTTAGTAAAAAGTCTGATACTAGATGTCTTTGGCTAGTTTGTGTGATATTCGGTGAACTACATATTCTTATTATTATTGTTTTTTTATGTTAAATATCTTCGAAAATAAATGAAGAATAGATGAACAAATTACAACTAAAGCATTTTGTAGTAGTTTGATAAAATAATAAGTGCCAATTTCAACATATTAACCTTTCTGATTATTTTCTGATTTTCGAAAAAAAATTCTGAATATTTTCTGATTTTGATAGTCGGAATTTCTGATTTTTAAATTTTTGATCTGGCAACCCTGTCAGGTGATCATAACGAACATGTGCTACTGAAGATCGTAATGAAATGTCCCTTTCCCATTATAGCCTATTTCTGAAAATACAGATTTCTATTCTATGTACTTCAGTACATCTTTTAGATCGTATTATATAAAAACTTTATGATATGAATGTAAATAAAAGGTCTTGAAATTTTCAACTCAAAAGAATGTTTCCTTGATGAGATATGAAATTTCCAAAAGATAGATGTAAGATTTTCGCATCTTTCATAGGATACAAAAAATTTTATCTTGTAAAGGAAACTTGAAATAGTTCTTTAGTGAGAAACTCATTTATTATGATGCATATATTAAATAAAAATCTAATACCATTTGGCAAAATTTTCACTTGAAATTTATCAATAGCATTGGTTACTGTTGTCATTTCTTCAATATGTTCTTTATCAGCAATAGATTCAACAATACGTGTTATATTTTCAAATGCTTTATTTGGTTGAATTTCATGAACAAGAGATATAATAAGTTCATGAGATGAAGATGAAGATGTCGAAATAGGTTCTTTATAAGATAATGATTGTTGTTCATTTTTTAATTCATCATCACTTGATATACTTTTATGATGAAATATTTCTGATATAGGTGAACCTATTAAACTATCTTCTCGTTGAATTATTTTATGTTTACGTACATCATCTGATAATTGTTCTAATAATTCAATAGTACTTTGATGAAATTCAATATCAGATTGTTTTTGTTGAACAGTTGAAGAAACATTATATGGTCTTAAAGTTTTTATTATTAATGATTCTTTTGGTGATTCAATATAATCTTGATCAATTTTTTTAATAAGTTTATTATAAATAAATTGTGTTCGTTTATAATTATCATATGATTTTCGTTTTAAATAATTAATAATATCTTTAACTTCAATTAATGAAGTATCATATTCTTCATGTAAAATATTTCGTATTTGTTTTTCTGTTAATAATTTACCTAAACGTATTTCAATATCATTATATTGATTATTAATATATATTCGTAATTCTTGTTCATTTAATCGTCTTTGAATAATATATTCAAGTTCATCAAGTGGATTTAAATATTTAATATTAGCTTTTAATATACTTTTTTTTAAATTATTTTTTTCTTTTATTGTTAATGAACGATTAAAAAATTTTTCTATTTTATCATAATAACCTGAAGCTAAATCTAATATTTGTTCTGATTTCATTTCACTACTAAGTAAACGTGATAATGGTTCAAAACGAATTTCAGCAAAACGAAGTAATTCATGTGGTGATAATTTACGATCTAATATTATTAAATAAAATAATTAAAATTCAAAAAACAAAAAAAAAAACTTACGAAGAATATTTTCAAAATATCGTATACGATTAATAGGTAATTCTTGTAATTCATCTTCTTTTTGTTTATTTAATTGTTCTTCAATTAATTTTATAATTTTTCTATAATGTCCATTTAATAAATCAATTAATTCATCTTGTTTAAATGATCGTTGTAGTATTGTACGAATTTCATCAAAACGATCACCAGCTAAATTAGTTAATTCATCTAATGTTAATGATCGATTTAGTATTCTTTCAATATTTGTTATATCAACAATATGAGGTCCTAAAAGAAATAATATTCAAAACAAAAAAAAAACTGTTAGATTTAGAGTGAATCATATTTTGTTTTTGATGTGTATCTTTCTTTTTTTGTCAAGACGTATTCTAAATCGACGACTCACGCAAACTTGAAGAATATTCCTTTTGCCTTTAGTCGAGTTCTAGCATTTTGTTATTCGTCAATGTCTAAGGAAACATTGGATCCTTTCCTGACAATTTTGATAAAGGTTAGCTACTACTTTTGATATGTTCTAAGTAGTATAAAAATAATTCTATACCTGTTTCTTTAGAAGACAATTGTCGACCGATTAAACTTTCGATAGTTAATTTATCTCCATTGAGTAAATTCGATCGTTGTAAATCATTTAGTGGTTTACCTAAATCATGTTCGATTTGAGTGAAATGTAAACTAGCAAATCGTTCAAGTTCATCACTATTTAAATTATTTCCTATAGCTTTTTCAATTTCTGATAAAGTAAAATAAATTCGTTGTTTTAATATTCGATCAAAAATAAATAAATCTTCATCAGATTCATCTTCTTCTTCTAAGTCTATTAAAGGTATTTTTGGTACTTCATTCATATCTAATTGATTTGAAGATAATTTTTTCTTTAAATCTACTTTTACTAAATTTTTTTGTTGATCTGTTAGATACTAAAAAAAAAGAAAGAAAGATTGATAATTATCAAAATGAGATAAGTTAATTTAAAAAAAAACAAACAAATCATCTCATACTTGAATTTCATCTAATGTCAAACGACGTTCTAAAACATCTTCTAATTCTTGAATTGTTCTATCAATCGATGGATTATGTGTAAGTTGAGATGCAGTCAAATCGATTATATTGACTGGTTTGTATGTCAAGCGTTCAGTAGATGTCTAAAATAAAACAAAAAATGACTCATTTATTTAAACTTATTCGAACAAAATATTCAACTATGCATTTGCTTTTGAGTTCGAATTTTTTAGTTCATTTAAGAATTCCTATCATAAAATTTTTTTCGCATGGCACATAGATATGTATCTTTTGTTCAGAAATGATTGTATATTATTCACAATATTATTTTTAAGAAAATAAAGCATCTTCGGCGAAAAACAGTTAATCAAGGAAGCCCGTGCGCACAGCCATTTTCAGTCATCCGATATAGTCTCGCACACTAATTTAGAATATCCTATTGATTTCTAATAGAAATGTTTTTGAGCGTAAAAAAACAAATCAACGTTATTTAAAAACGTCTTGTAGAGTTGTCTCACACTAAGGAAGGAGCGTTGGTTTTATTGAACTTAAGAGGAAAGACCTGTAAGTGTCAAATGATTTTTCAGTTAGGATTATGTGCCTCATGTAAGTTTCAATGAGTTATGAGTTTCCTGAAAAAAGCTCGAGCTTATTGTTGCCTAGATATTATATTTTTTATGAGAATACCGTGCTATTCTCAGGAGTAGCAAGAAAAATTAAGTTTTGAAGTGAGACTTGAAACTTTACATAGAGATAAGCATGAAAAGATCTGAAACTTTTACAATAAGCTATTTCCCATTCAGGCGTGTCTCTAGACATAGTTTCAAAACTCATGTTCTTGAGAAGGTTCACGATATTCTGCTTAAAAAATATAACATCCCGACACTAAAAAATTATGAGTCCGAACTCTTTTCAGAATATTCATAGCCCTTTAGAGAACTTGCATGATGGTTAAAGTTTCAACTTAAAAGCGACTTGACACTTAGAAATGTTTCCTCATTATAATCATTCGGAAAATTAGTTTAGGAAAAAATTTTTTTCACAAAAACTACACATTCAAATTATACACTTTTTCGTAGTACTGTGTTCCAATGCTTTGGTACCACTGAATACTAGCTACATTGAAACTATACATTCTCTTGTCAGTTTTAAAATACATTTACCAATTGTCGACCAAGTGCTTTTTCAATACCACTTAATTTACCATTGAGAATATCACGTATTTCTTTATCAGTTAAATTACGATTTAATTCATTTTTAAGATCAATAAAACGATTTTTATAAATTGATTTAATTGTTTCTGTTGATAATGATTTATTAAATAATTTTTCAAGACTAATTATATCACCATTTGCAACCATAATTATTTCTTGTTTTGTTAATGATCGTCCAATATTATTTTCAAGATATTTTATATTTTCTAATAAATTTTTATCTTGTGTATTTTCAATTAATTTTAATAGTGATGCTGTAATAGGAAGAATTTCTTGAATTTTTTCATTAATATTATTATTATATTTTAAATTTTTATTATATTCAATCATAGAATAATCATCATGTATTAAACGTTTTTTTTCATCAATTGTTAATAAACGATTAAGTTGTTTTTCAATATTTTTAATCAATGAAGAAATTGAATGAATAATATCATATTGATCAATAAGTTGTGCACGATATTGTAAAATCTATATATTAAGATTAAAAAATTAATAATCATCATAAGAAATTTATTTACTTGTTCTAATTGTTTATGAGTAAGTTTAATATTTTCTTGTTCTAAAATGTCTATAAAATTTTGAGATAAAATCGAAATATTATTATTAGGAAATAATTGTTGATATGATTGTAAAGTTAATTCTTCTTGTTCAATACGTTCTTCTATTGTTAATGAACGTTGAAGAAGTTTTTGTTCAATATAATCATATGATAAATTATTTTGAAGTAAATAACGATATTCAAATTCTGTTAATTGACGATTTAAAGATTGTTCAAGTGATGAAAAACGATTCATTGATATAATACGTAAATCAATTTCTGTTAGATAAAGATTAGTAAGTTTTTCAAATTTTGAAATATCTTCAAAAATAAGTGCAGTCAATTCTTCAAGATTCATTGGACCTGAAAAAAATGATTGTCTTTCTTTTTTTTTTTGTTCGATTCAACAATAAAACTAACATACGTTTTAATCTTTTAATTTCGATATCATTTTGAAGAATATTAACTAATTGAATTCTTTCATTAATTCTATTTAATCGTTGTTGAATATTACGATGAAATAATATATTTATTTGTTTAGAATCTATTTGTATTTCATCGAGTATGTAACTTATGTTACCTTCAAGAATATTTAAAATATCGACTTCATCTATTTGTCGACCAATTAATGTTTCAAGTTCTTGAATAATTGCCATTGTTCGAAGTTTATCAGTGATTTGTCGAATTGAAGCTTTACCTAATAAGATGTATTAGATTATGAGTAAAAGAATTGAACAAAAACAAAAAAAAAGTACCTTTAATAGGTTCAATACCATATTCTTTGTTAAGTTCAAGTAATTGACTATCGAGACGATCACGAAGTTCTTGTAGAATTTCTTTTCGCAATATTGGTGATTTAGGATAAATAATAATTGGATTTTGTTGAGTTGTTCGTGATAATTTGTCAACTACTATACAAAAGTCATTGTTTCACATTCTATGGATGGAAGTCTTCCCTCTACTTCTTGATCTGATCTTAGTCATCATGAGAGATAGAAGTCTTTAAGTATTCCTCCTCTTGGGATCAGCAGCTTCATTGGAGTCTTGCTTACTCAAGTGTAAATCAAGTTGAAATGAATGGAATCTATTGTGAAACTGAAACATAGCACTACATATTGATAGGTTTGTTAAATCTACAAAATCTTTTCCACATCAATTTTCACATCTCTATCCTTTATGTAATGACTAAGATCTGAAAATGAGAAACACTTTTTTTTTCACTGACTTTTCTCGAATTTAAAATAGTTACCTTCAAATACATTATTAGTTGTGATATTATTTTGTGTTACTGTCTGTTGCACGATGGGTACTATCGTAGGATCGAACTGAGAAATACTTGATGATGATTGTTGAAGAAGTAATTTATTCAATTGTGTTAGTGATGAACGAACTTTATTGATAATTTGTAATGGTGATTGACTTTTATATGCATCGAGAATACGTTTCGATAGATGACCTGATTTGAATTCTTCTGAAATGCATATATATATATATGATTAAGTAAGTTGTATAAGAAGAATAAAAATTATTACCAATGAGTTTCGGAGTAATTAGTTGTGTTTGAATTTTATAAATTTGAGAAAAACTAAGTCTATAAGTTTGAATACCTTCGATTATTGTTTTATTTAAGTTATCACTTGCAATAAAATCAATGATTTCTTTTGATTTTGTAGCAAGCTCATCAGGTTTATCTAGTATATCAGATGTTATTTCACCGTACTTAATTGATTTGTAAATATTTTCTGTTATTATATTTATTTTGAGTAGATCAAGTATAAATGATGGAATAGTTTCTACTTCTTTAGTAGATATATCATCAATAGAATGTAGACTCAATTGATGAACAAGATTCAGAGTATTTTCAATACGATTATGTTTTAATATTGAGTTTGATACTATTTCGACTGTTTCAATATGAGTTTGTATACTTGATTTAAGTCGTTCATGCATAGCTGTCAATTGATCAGTAAGAGAAGAGTATAGTTGATTTTGTATATCAGTTGATCCTGCTATAATGTTGATAAATTTATTGGATGGAAACAATGAATATGGTAATATTGGAACAGATGGTGATATTGATTTTAAATTGGACTTCGTCATGATGGTTGATTTATATTGTGTTGAAAGAATAGAAGTTGAAACTGAATGAAGTAAACTACTAAATTGTTCATCATTGAGAATAAACTGAGAGGATGATGTTGGTAAAGATGTAGTGTATTCAAAATCATTAGTCAATATGTTTATATTCCATAGTGTAGCTAGTTGTTCTGGTTTGAACCGAAATTCTATCATCTATGAAAATGAATATAATTCAACAAAAGACTATTTTAAATATTTTTCAATTTACATTGATATGTTCTGTTGTACAAGTTGTCAATTCATCGAGTTTGATATTAGATGATTTTACAAGAGAAAAAATTTGTTCGACAGTTAAATAAACATATTGTTGAATATGAAATGATTTATCAATCGATTGAGTAAGATCAACAGACTTTTGTATCGTATTTGCTTGACTATTTTGATTGATCAAACTACAGAGTTGTTTCTGATCGAATACTTTTGATTTTTCTTCGTTGCGAATTGATACTATTTGTTTTACTGATATTTTATTTTCCATAGCAAGATGAATCAGTTGATTGTGTGTTAGTTGTAAAGGTTTATTGGAAGTGGGTAATGAATGAAAATGTTCCAAAGTCATGTCTAATAAATGATAAGTAGAATCAATGATAGAATTTGAACCGATTACTTACTTTGAATTAAAGCTAACTGCCTGATTTGTTGATAATCCAATGAAAATAATAATGATTGATCATTTTCATTTGATCTTTGTTGCAACGCATAGATACCTATGAGTTGGGCAACAGAAAGTCCAACAATTCTTTGATTGTTAACAATACGATGATGAGCAAAGAAATAAGCCAGTTGTGATGAATTCAAGCGAAATTGTTGAGCTTGTATGCTTTGTTGTTTTAAATTTTGTTCAATATCTAATAGTTTTCGAATATTAAAATTATTTTGATTGATCAAATGTGCGATTTGTGAAGATGTAAGAGTAAACTTGATTTTAGAACTATCGAGTAATGATGAATTTTGTGAAACAGTTTCATTATTAAGAATTCTATCTATATCAATCATTTGTTGATTACACAATTGAATTAATTGATCAAGTTGAAGAACAAGCCATGATTGTTGTTGTTCTAATAATAACGTTGATGACATCCAATTGACCAAGTTTATTTGATTGATTAAAAATCGGATTTGATTTTCATTTAAATGAAGATTATCTTGTGATATTTCACTATGCTCAACTAAAAAAAGACAAATAGATTCAACACCCTTCTTATGATTTTAAATCAATGAATAGTTCGAAGGATGCTCTATGATCAAATAACATGACATTCTGGTACAATTCACATGAAATTATATAAGGAATATTTGCAAACTTGAAAAAAACATTTTCTGAGCGAAAACATATAAAATGCAAGACAGTAAATAAATAATATTAGCTAAGATATTTATTCAAAATATGTTATTTACTATCTGTGATTGAGATATTTTCTTCGATGGCAATTTGAACTAACTGTTCTTCTGTGAGTTCAAATTTATCTGGTATTACAGTTGTTTCCAATAACTTTTGTAAATAATCTTGAAATTTTTTAGTAGAAAGATTTTGTTTCAAATATATTCTATTAAACGTAAAAGAAGTTCAATTATTTGTTCCTATCATACATTTCTAAAAAGTGAAACTGACTATATCAATCTAATAGAAGAGAGAAACATAAATGAGAGAAATAATATGCATTAAATGAGTAACAATCTCGTATGATATTTAATGAACTTAAACAAATGTTTTTGCGAGAATTTACTTTAAAACAAACAATAGCTGATCTGCAATAGATGTTTATTTTATGTTGTGTTCATGAAAACTCTTATGAGACAAGTATAGTTTGATGTAAGCAAGTTAGTATCTGTTTCACAGCAGTATTTTAGTAGCCTAGATCACAAAAATTCCGATCGAAGTGACTAAATACTACGATATAGGTCAAAAACCCAGTCGTCGTATACGATGAAGGTAAATGATGATTGTACACTACTGTAGAATACGATCTTATATCTTCATAAGTTAGTTGTCAGTTCAGTTGCATTATGAATTTAGCTACAAATTTAATGGTAAGTATTTATTTGAAAAGAAAACAAATTTTATTTTTTTATTTAGATTAATTTGTACAACTGAAGAGAGACAAAAAAAGTGATCCTCCTTGTGAGTAAGAGAAAATTTATGTGAACACAATCGCTTACAACAGCCGACGAAAATTGTGATCTTCGTCCTAGAAACTTGATGAATTGTTTTTTTGTATTTTCCAATTAGCGAACATTTCTACATTGTGTGAAATAGCACTAGAGACTCATTTGTAGCCATTAGCTACTGAAAAGACGTTGTAAAAATAACCGAATAATAATTTTAATTCAACGTATGCTTATGTATTGATAGGTCAGACATGACAAATGTTGCAAAGACATATTATTACAGTATAATTCAAGTTCTTATCAACTATTCAGGAAACAGCAACATTTTAATAAGTATTAAATGGTATTTCATCAAACATTAGATTACTACAGATATGTATGCGCTACGGATTTCTGTCATGATTGATTGCCAGAGTAGCTAATAAAAGATAAAAAAGTGAGTGTAAGAATATCTATCGAAAGAAAACTTACTGAGAAAGATAATTACTAGATAAGTTGTTGAGCTATATGTCTTGAATCATTTGTAGCATGAAACATAAAACTTAGGCTAGTATGCTTTGAAGAAAGATACGTCAAGCGGTTGTAGCACATGTGTTGTGGAGATTATGCTTCATACGAAAAAACTAACTCTTCGACTCATCCCGAAAATATTGCTCGAGATATATGCGATAACATAAGCATTATATAAATATAGTGTTTTTATCTTGTATTGCATGGAGATGAGTTCATCAAAAATAAATAATCCATCTTAATCGATTGTTGACATGATCAGAAGCAATTTTCAAGCCGATTATGTAAAATGTGATTTTCAAAAACCTACGATCACCAGTTACTGCAAAGTTAATTAAGCCATGCAAAACATCACTCTTGTTTCACTTTTATTATTTTATTTTTGACTAGTAATTTAAGTAAACTATGACCTAAAATGAATGGAGTGTGCGCTTTTCTTGCGAACTAAAAGTAACTGACGCTTGCTAGAACCATAAATATGGCAAGTCAAAAACAAATGTATCTCGAAAAAATTTTCAAACACTTTTTTTTAGAGTTTTCAAAAAAGATTACATTTTTCTTTCTTTTCCTTCACTCAAAGACAGACACCGTTTTCAAGCTAGAAAAAACATCAAAAGTTCCTGTGGTCTCATGTAATTAACACCTGTTTCGTTGCATTCTCTGCATAATTAGGATATTGTAGCATAGACTTACCAGTTATCATTTATAGCAAAACAACGAGTGCCATCCGAACTTTTTCTTTATACATGAAGTACTTAGTAATATCGATATTAATTGTCAATTTTTCAGTGAATATCACCAAGTGGAAACAATGTTAATGCTATTTGTATTGATCGAATGATTTCTGATTCTTTTTAATCTGAACGGTTGATTATAAGGGAATACGTAAGATAAAACTCTTGCTTCAACCGAAAAGATAACAACATTTCAGTTGACTATCAATGCTTTTCAGTAATAAAAATAGATTTGATGTTTGATAATGAAAAAAAGTTTACAATTGGCAAGAAGAAGGATGGGATTAGAGCTGAACGGATATTATTGTTGGGAAAAAATAAATTATTCGTTATTAGAATCTTTTCTATGCTGAACAAATAGTGACCGTCAACAAGAGGACAATTAGCCTCTATGACATGTGCATGCATTTACGACATCTATTGATTAGTGTATTCTTTCAATCGCAGCTTACGATTTCAACGATTAGCAGAACGAAATATATTTATTTGACATGCGTACGACAAAATTTTGCTTATAGCTGATTATAATTTCCTTGGAAGATCTGTTATTTACTAGCTAGTATCTTGATAAAACTTTAGCCTTTTGTTAAAAAAATGTTCTGAACATATATTATCTAGTAATATTTTCAGCGCTTACTATTAACGTCATTAGTAAGAATTATATCAAGTAGAAAAAAGATAATTGACATTTAGAATCATTTATCAACATCAGAGAAAATAAAGTATTGGTAAATGGATTACGTACTGTTCAATTTGAGTATTTGTCAGCTTCAGTGGTTCTTGATTGTGTCCGATAACAAGTACTACCAGATGAGCCACAGTAAGACCATCATGCGACATAATTGCATTGGACATTATAGCTTCAAAATAATGTTCTCTATCAATATCTGTTGTACCACTGAATGACATTGTTGATTCGACTGCTTCATCAATTGTTGGTAAAATTTGTTGATACTTATCTGTTGTGAACATTTTGAAAGAACGTGATGGAATTGTTGTGGTAGCTACTGATTCAATGAGTGAAGTATCAATCTTCTTATCAACTTCTTCCGTAATCTGTTTTAATGAATCTAATTCAGTGGTCAAAGATTGATCAGAACGTTCGGAAAAAACCAATGATTTCTTTTCGTTAGGTTTTTTCTTTAACATTGTTGCAATTAATGCTGGTTCATCATTTGTTGCTATGAGCAATGTTTCTAATGTGTATGCAAAACGCACAGCTTGTTTTCGTAGACCCGTTGTACCAGTTGCGTTCAAACGATCTTTAAGCATATTAACGGCAAGTGGAATATATTTTTTTGGATCATGTGAACGTAATTTGGCTAATTTTAATACATCATCTAATAGACGAACCTATAGTAGAGAAGAACAAAATATCAACAATATTTCTACTATGCAAATATTAAAACGTACTCCATGTCGTCCAGCATATTTGAAAAATTCGGTTAATCGATCATTTACTGTTTTCCTACTTTGTAATTTTCGATCACCAATATTATTTTCACGATCAAATGTTTGTACAGCTTCAATTGCATTTTCTATCAACTGTGCTACATCTTCGGACAACCCTTCATACAGATCTCGCGTTGCCGATATGCCCAAATTACCTTCAATAGTACCATATTTTCTGATCATGTTGTCCAAGAGATCGCGCACTTCTGGTGGTAAATTATCTGTTTTTATGGAATCAGTAGTTTCATCATAGCGATGTGACTCTTCTTGTAGATTATATTCATCGGCAGATAGTTTTTGTATACCCGATCGTTGATGATATTGTGCTAAAATCCAAGGTGATGGAGTTAATACACGATTCTGTTGATGTATCACCAAATCATTTATATTCAGAGGTATATAAGGTCCTTTCATTGACTTGATATTCTACTCCAACAAAAAAAAAAAGATATTTCATCAGAATAACACTCACAAGGAGACATTTTCAACTGATCAATTGCTTTTACAATGAAAGCTTATGACTTGTAAGCCGTTCACTATGCTCATTCCGAATATAAAAATCTTCTTAGGTCTTTAATATACTCTAGTAGCTTTCAATGAGAAAATGATTGATCAGTTGGAAACATTCTCTTGTTAGACAAAGAACAGAATTTTACATGTCTTTCTATATCAAGTAAAACTAGATCCTTGAGTGCTTCAATATCATCATTTATATGACTATGTTCACCAAATTGAAATCGTTTAAAAGCTTTATGAGAAAAAAATTTAGGTGCTTGATTCAAATCGATTACATGCAAAAGATATTTGCTGTTAGATATAGTAGGTGACAATTTCGATTTCATTAAATGTTGATTCGTTTCAATAATCTCTTGAAGATTGTGTACAATTTGAATTTTACGAAAATAAGATACTAAAACATATTCAAATTTTGTATAATCCGATAAATAATCATGATTCATTTGTTTCAAAATATCATCAGTTAACGAACAAATAGTTTTAATAAGAATATCTATTCAATGAAATATCATAAGAACGATTAAATCAATATCATTTCTTAGATTCTTACTACTAGAAAACCAAATACAAGGATTGAGACCTAATGGAATTGCATGACATTCTAAGGAGGTAAATTCTTGTAGAAGATTTGTACTCATATATTTTTTTAAAGTATGTATGAGAGCAATATTTTCCAATAATGGTGAATTGATCAATTGAAGACGATTGAATAAATAATAGATAGATTTTTTGAAAAACTCTTCAATAAGTATATTTTCA